CCCCCCCCCCCCCCCCCCCTCTTTCCCCCCTCTTTTTCTCACTTTCTTTTTTTTTCTTTTTTTTCAGGTCTTCGAGTTTTCCAACAGATAACAGATAATCTAACCAAACCAAACCAACGACTACCATTCGACTACCAATCAACAAGAAATACCATGATCAGAACGAGTTTGGAAGAATGAAGGAGACCGAGTAACTCACGCCACACCATTCAGGGCCGAGTTTCACCGCCATGTCATTCGACCCGACCAGATCTAACGAAGAATCAACAACCAAACCAACAACACCGAATCATCCAATTTGATCCAATCCAACTACCAACTACTACGACTACCAACAACTACCTAGTTTGCGATATCAGCATCCGCTGGAAGCGAACGTTAACTTGTCATCTACCAACCAACCAACCTTAAGGTTATAAGGGCCCCTACCTCCCAGGATGATATACAAAATTTAAACTCTGCCAAAATGAGTCTTTGTTTATCAGTGGACTTACTTAGTGTCAAAACTAAACGATTATAAGAATACATTCTTTTGAAAAAGATTATTTTCGAAAAGATTTCATTTTAAAATTTGATTTTACCGATAGAGAAACAATTACACTGAAATTATTTGATAGCTATAAGCTCAAGGGAGGTAATATAATTACAAAACCAGTGTAGACTAGTTCTTTTAAAAATATTACAGCAAACATTAAATTTTTAGAATGATGTAATCTTTTTTGAAGTCATCTAATATTAAAAGTGTTCAAAAAGTGGTCTTAAAGATGGGTTTCCTTATTTTTTAGTGTTAAATTAAGCAAACTATTTGATAAATCGGTATTTCTAATGAATAAGCATGTATTCTTTAGCATATCATTATTTTCTTATATTGCATCATTTAAGTTTTAGCCAATCTTAAATGTCCATGTATGTACAGTCTGGACAAACAAAAAAAGACCTTTTGACCTTTTTTGATCGGTCACTCATTGGAATTCTGCTGGTAATTCTCTTCTAATTTAGCTAATTATGAATTAATTATGGACGCGAGACAAACTGGTATTTTTCCCAAGTCAAGTCATTAGAACACCTCTACTTTCTATTCATATAAGTATTAGCATTTTCATAAATTAAAATGAGGGAACCATCTTTAAAACCTTTTGGTTTTTGAAAGAAAATAGGCGCGCCCGAGAGCCAGAGTTGAGAAGCATTTTACTGTGACTGTCATAGGCATCAGAGCTTTAGCAATATAAAGGGAAGTAACTCTACTTTATAACAAAAAGATAAATGGACCACAACAATTTCCTTACACTTATACAGACTTTGATCACATTTCTGTCATGCTCGCAAACTTGGCGAAAACAGATAACTAAGTTTTCTTCTCATTTATCCACAGTATAACAAATACTTGTCATCTTTTACCCAATTAAGAAAAGTTAGTCCTCGATCATCCTATTCCGTGATTTGGTCTTACTGACCGAATGGAGGTTTGGTTTGGACAGATGTTTCTCCATATACTAAATTATTATGGTGCAAGATGGCCCAAAAGTTTGATATAACACAACTGTCTTAGTTCCAATTACCACCTCTCGAAGATTATCCAGTCAATATGAACGGCAAACACACTACTAACCAGCAATGTAAGCAAACCTAGGGACAAGCACGACAGCAACTGTGATTTAAGTTAATAAACAAAACAGCTACATTAAATATTTTTTATATCCATGTCTAAGCACAGCAAATAGACATTTACTCATAACAAATTTCAAGGTGGCATGGTCTTTTACTAATATTGTACAATTCAAATGAAATCTACATTTTTTACATCAAAAGTGGTTTGAGGTCAATCTTTTTTCTAACAAAATGGTTGTAGGTTTTGTTAGAAAAATGAAATGCCTGTACATAGAAGTTTCAGTTAATACACTTTTAAAAGATGAATATACTACAAATTAATTCATTTATAGTTTTATGCGAAAAGTTCATGAACTATACACACATTAGTTCTTTTTTTTTTTAAAAGTTTTTTTCCTAAAATTATTAAATAGTTCTATAATGTAGTACAATTACCATGGTAATTTACCAGTTACCTTGGCATTAATGTATATTTCCTGGAACTTGTCAAAACCAGACAATACTCCAGCACCAGCTACACCTCTCAAGATATTGGCACCAGCTCCCTTCATCATGGACATGAAACCTTCATTCTTCATAATTTGGAGAGCACAATCAACTGCTCCCTTATATTTAACTGCTTGTCCAGATGTCATCATCATCCTTCTTCTAATAGTATCAATCGGGTAGGATATTAAACCACTGGTGATGGTAACAGTGTAACCAAGAGCAAATGATAATAAAATATTAGCACTGTCTCCCAATAAGATAGGTTTCAAGGTATCAAAGAGACCGAAGTAGAAACCTCTATATACAACAATACCAACACAGGAGATGACAAAACCTCTATAGAGTCCTTGAATACCATCAGTTTTTAAGGTCTTCTTGTAAACATCAATCAAACCATTGAATTCTCTGGATCCTCCACCTTTAGTTGAAGATTTGGCGTCATTGGCTAATCTGGTTCGAGCATAATCAAGAGAGTAGACGAAGCAGAGGGAGAGGGCACCAGCTGTACCACCAGAGGCAATATTCTTACCAAAATTTACCATGTATGGGTCAGTCTTCTTCTGTTTGAAGAGCTTTTTGATCTGATCTTTGAAAGCGAAATTAAGAGCTTGGGTTGGGAAATATCGGATGCAGTTGGCTAAATTACCCCTCCAAAATGGCAGAAATCCTTCATTAGCCATGGTTTTCTTTGTGCAATCAATGACTCCTTTGTATGGTTCAGACAATCTACCTTGTTTGATCATCTCATCTTGATTTTGTACTAAAAGTTTGACTCTTTCAATAGGGGCTGCAGCAGTCTTGGAAATGACGGCAGCTGCTCCACTGAGAGCAAAATTCTCAAAGAACGATAATACTTCTTTCTTCTTTTCTGGGGCTTTAGGGGCGGCTTTTTTGTCTGCCATCTGAAAAATAAAGAATAGATCTAATTAGCCTTTGAGATTAAACACAAAAGGAATTGGACATATTTTATTAGCAGAACCGAAACAAGATAACCTTATTGAACAGAGTAATATACATGTAAAATGTATACATATAATCAAAGTCAATTTGAAAGAAGAATAAATATAAGATATATAACTACTCAACCAAATTGTAAAATATGCATGTAGAAACTTGAATAAGAGAAACCAGAACCTCTTGGTAAGCTTACCAAGTCTTGAGGACAGTTTTTTTTCTCAATTTGTGACCAACCAACTTACAAAAAGTTATAGAAGAAAATCAAGGTGATTTTACAATAATGTAGGCCCATACCTATAAACTAAACACCTGTATGGTATAGTGAATGATCTTGACAGATAAAAACAAGGTCAAACTGTCAAAAGTCTGAATTAAAATCCATTGGATATACTGGCTCAAAATACAAGAATATTCGACCTTTGGGTCCTGTGTAATAAATGTACCAATTTCCTGACAACAATTTTTGGCAACTAAGGCGAAGAAACTAATGTGCATCTCAAAGAAAGGTGCTTTACCGGCATTTTGTACTAAATTTCAATGACGTCATACTTCGGCTCAAATATAGGTCAGTAGTGAATTATAAAGGTTGAAGTTAAAACATCCTTTTAAATTTAAGGTAAATACGATAAAATAAATAAGTCTTGTATAGAAGACTAGATAATGACTTTTATCTTTGTGCGAAACCTAAAACATAATGGAATTCTGACAGAAAAGCTTCTCTTTATCATGTGACTTTCATTTCACCGGTAGAAAGGGATATCAAAATTATACAGAAATAACGCCAAGAAATATACTCTGTGGTAATACAGCCATGCAGACACAATCAGAAATGGACATTCTAAAGTCATGTATAAATTTATACGTAGTATTGCTCACCTTGAAGATTTTTTAGACCAATTTGTACAAGAGATAGTCTAGTGCCGTACTGCTCTCACGCCAAACACGTTGCAAAGAGAGTGACTTAATTTCCTATGCAGCCAAGCAATCTATTGGTGAATTCTTGCACGTGATCAAATTCTACCTATTTCATTGGTCAATTTTCAAGGTGGTTAGGGTCATGTGTCTGCGCAACTCGATTTGCTCATTCTTGTCCATATCTTACATAATCCGAAATAGTCTGCGGGGTATTATAGGATTGTCCTTGACAGTGATATAGGGAGTCAATCCACTGTACATGCCCCTATAGTTATCACCGTTTTCACCACGAAAATAGTTAACTTACTCATATTTGATGTCATCGGTCTCCATTTCATTGCTTTATGCTTTAACATTTTCAAGGAACACTAACTCCTAGAATGGAAATAAAATTTAGTCTCAATTAGTCTCAAACTTGATCAACAAGTGTATTATTCATCAATTGGACTTTGTAGGCACATGTCATGACCAAAGAATAGAATCTCTATAAACGATATATCCATTAAACTTTAAAAGTATTATAAAACGCTTCTAAGCGTGTTTCAAATTATTTAGTTTAAGCCTAATATAGATCAGTACTTATTTTTGTGCATTATCAGTTATTATTAACATCAGAATGGAGATCGTGCTGTGCATTATAAATCTATGAGTGATCCTCTTATGGTTGGTAGACAATTCTTCCAGATGCTGACTGCAGACTAGTTAATGTTTTTGGTAGTTTGGATCTAGGATGATTTTGGTTTGATAGTATATAGTCCTACCGTATAACCTTGGAGTAGTCATTACTCCAAGGTAGGCCTATAACAGATCGATGGTGATTAAGAAGTTCTGGAACTGGAGTTTTCAAAATTTTTAAATTGTGGTAAAGTTGATAAATAGCCAAAATGTTTTACTGTTCGTAAATGACTATATAGGTCTGTTTATGTCCATTAATTCAAAATATAATATATTGACCTTATCATAGTCTAGGCCTTTAGGCTAAGTCTAGTTTTGATATAACATAATCATGGATCAAGAAAAGTAGCTTTAGTGCTCGTAAGTTTGATAAACGACCAATTAGCCCCTGAAACCTTTAAACTGACTTATTTATCTATCGATGTTACGTTAAGAATGTAAAGTAAAGGGCCTAATATTGTATTCTGACGTTAATATATTGGTCGACCTGGTAGCCTCAAGTCCTTTTTTGGGACTCTTTTGTGGAGGGGTCCTTAAATGATTTGAAAATTTCTATACACTATTCCGAGATTTATAGGACCCGATCACTTTTTAGGCCTCTTCCCAAATCCGATATGGCGTGCCACAAACTACTATGTCTATAATGCGGTAGTCAGCCAACCCTACCCGATGTAGCCTAGGTTTCTGTTGTTTTTTTTTTATGTGGTTTTCAGTTTTCAAAACTGGCGAGCATTGATGTCGCTTTGTGAAGTACATTATCCTCGGAAAAACTCGTATGGTGTACTTTTCAGTACTCTCTAAACTACATGTCAGATTAACTGTTATGGTGGGATTTAAGTCAACTCTGAACTTCATGCTGGGAAAAACTGTTACGGTGGGGATTTTTCTGTTCAATGTGAACTAAACTGTTTGGAGAAACTGTAATAGTGAGGCTTTCTGTCAACCCTGAACTATACTAGGAGAAACTTTAATGGTGGGGTTTTCTTTCAACTCTATGAACTACGCTGGTCAAACTGTAAGCCTAATGATGGGGTTTTCAGTCAGTTCTGAACTACAAGCTGGGAGAAACTTTAATGGTGGGGTTTTCTTTCAACTCTGAACTAGAAGCTGGGAGAAACTGTAGTAGTGAGTTTTTTTGTCAACTCTGAACTACATTCTGGGAGAAACTGAAATGGCGGGGTTTTCAGTCAACTCTGAACTACAAGCTGAGAGAAACTGTAATGGTGGGGTTTTCTGTCAACTCTGAACTTTACGCTGGAAACTGTAATGGTGGGGTTTTCTGTCAACTCTGAACTTTACACTGGAGACTGTAATGGTGGGGTTTTATGTCAACTCTGAACTACATGCTGGGAGAAACTGTAATGGTGAGGTTTTCTGTTAACTCTGAACTACATGTTGGAAGAAACTGTAACGGTGGGGTTTTCAGTCAACCCTGAACTACATGCTGGGAGAAACTGTAATGGTGGAGTTTTCAGTCAACTCTGAACTACATGCTGGTAGAATTTGAAATGGTGGGTTTTCAGTCAACTCTGAACTACATGCTGGTAGAATTTGAAATGGTGGGTTTTCAGTCAACTCTGAACAATAGGCTTATGAGTAACCTTATGCCTAAAGATACCTTACAAGAGCTGTTTTCTACTGTTATATTTTTAGCATCATGTTCTGGGAAACTTACAATAAAGCACACAAAATATTTATGTTTTATTTAGGTATCACCTTCAGAATCTGAATAATTACTCATTAAAACGCTTAAACCACTTTTTGCCAGAAGATCTCTGTTATCACTCTGTAATGAACTATTTTTCTGTTCCTGAATTGTATTACCACAGTTTGAACTATAATCAGATCTGTTGACTTCTAATATGACAGAATCTTTATCAGCAGAATCCCAAAGAGAAGTTTTGAGTCTTTCAGAACACTCTGATGGTATTGAATTATCACTTATGGTCTCACTGACAGAACTGTTTGATTTTCTTCTTATTCCCAAATCTGGTTTGCTTTTGTCTTTTTCAGTGTTTAGAGAATTAATATTAAATGGATCATATTGTTTTTTAATTAAATGAGAAAATTTATTTGGGGATATTTTTGGTGGACTAAAAATGGATTCATTGTTAAGAGATTTTCTTTTTTCTTTCTGTTTCTCATCAAATGCTGAAAAATAAAACGAAAAGATAATAAAAGGATGACTTCACAAGCTACATGTTCTACAAGGTCTAGGTTTAAATATTTAAAGGAATATTGTCATCGAAATATTTAGCTTTTCCATTACAGCTAATAGAGCTTAATAACATTTGTCCAATGTTACCATTCAGACAGCAGCTAATTTTGAAATTTCACAAGAGAGACAGTAAACAGTTTTTACAGTGTATTGTATAGATAACTACTCAGCTTATTAATAAGTTGATTAAAGAATTATTTTATTTAAAGATTTTATTTTGATAGTAAAATTGACTTACATTCAACAACAGAATATTTGATTAAGCCAGCTATTTGTTTATCTTCTTCATTTTCATCCACTAATTCAATTTCTAACGAACTTTTTGCTAATAATGCTCTATCACTCTCTAACTTTTCCCTTATAGTTTCTTTTTCTTCCTATAACACCGATGCATTATATTATTCTGTCAATTAATAGTTACACTCAGGGGCGTATCTAGAAAATGTCTGAGGGGGAGATTTTTCTCTCCAAGGCTTTCTGAATGCCAAAAGACCAAGAAATTTTCACAAGCCTGAGGGGAAGGACATACCCTCCTCTTAAATACGCTAACTGGTTACACTACTTAAAATAAGCTGGTCGTGATAATGATTCGTATTAGAAACACTAGTGTATACATTTGGTAAAACACAGTAGAGTCACTGATGTTAGAACCATCCTATAGGGTGACACTTAAAATAATACTCACTCTAAATTTATTTCGCGCTATCTTATTCAATATATAATCATCTTTATAAGAGTCCATCCTATCTTCTAATTGAGACAACGTCATGATAGATTTTTTCCCCTTTTCTTGATCATTAGAACCATGTTCCAGTTTAAACATAGCATCTGTGGCCATTTTCTTCTGTGTTCTTTTATCTGAAAGAGTTGATGATGGTATATCATTTTAATTTGCTATTGTCTTTTGATTTTCAATGCAGAATTCTGTGTGCCCAATAGACAAATTACTTTTAGAAGCAACTACAACAAATAAAGTTTAATTAGTTGTTTCAGCCAATAATTGGAGTTATTTCCCTTTATATGAATTTAGTCTGCTGAACTTTACAATTGAGTTCCTAGCCTCAATAGCCTGCCGCAGATGAGGGCAACTAGCTAGACATGTGGTTCAGATATACAATTCTTATAAAAAACATCTTGTTTTGTACAGGTTGTAAAGTATCCAATATGAATATCCAATTTGACCTACCTTCTGTTTCAATTTGCCCATTCTCTTTTGGATCCCATCTTTGCTCTTTACGTCTTGCACCACTTAATATCACATAATCATGATTCTGTACAAATATCAATAGTGAATAAACAAAAACAATAATGAGAGTTCTAGTTGATCCTATTGTAACTCCATAATGGACATTGGCACAACAATTGACAAAGGTCTAGTTTATGGAGTGAAGTATAAGTAAATAGAAAAATTATTCATCAAACATGTAAGCATATAGTATTCAATGGAAGGAAAGATTATAAGACAGGTTTTGTTAGCTTGAAGCCAGTCTGAACATCTACAGTACACAGTTTTACTAGTAGATTATGTACCTGAGGATCTGTTTGTATTTCAAAATAATTATCACAAAGATGACATTTCATTCTAAATTTATAAATAGGCGTTGAATAGTAGTTGCCGTGTTTACTCTTTTCAGCGTTATATCGAACTCCCATACCAATATGAGCATTACACCCACCACACCATATATTATAAGGCATTTCAAATCTAGAAAATACATGAATCATGATTAGAAATCACAAATAGTAGCCAAAGAGGTAATCAGTCTTGTTCTGGAACTTTGAACAGAAAAGTTTCAACATGGGATGTAAATCCCTGCCAATTTCGTTTCTGTGATTAATAGTCTCAACATTCATTTCACATAGTGATACTCTGAAAACAAAACTTGAAGCTAAACTTAGATATCTTAGATGAGTTAAATCCTGTATGCTACAGTTGTATAGTTATATCTTAACTTTTTGTCATGATAAAGACAATTTTTTTAAAACCTTGTGCATAAACAGAACAATTTTAACCTGTAAAGTGAAGCAAAAATATCCTGTGACGAATTGTATGGATTGTATGGCAGCAAATATAGTCAGTCAGAGCTCTCGGCAGAAAGTCTGTAAACAATAAGCCATAATATAATCTTTGAATAACATTTAGAAATAGGTAGAACATTCAGCAAGAACAACTATTATGGATATACTACTCCTTTAATTTAATTTTTGCAACGTTTCAGTTCAGATACAGGAATCTTTATCAAGCATAACATTTCCATTATTAATTGTTATGCTTGATAAAGATTCCTGTATCTGAACTGAAACGGTGCAAAAATTAAATCAAAGGAGTAGTATATCCATAATAGTTGTTCTTGCTGAATAAGCCATAAAGTTCATAATCTTCCTGTCGAGAGTTCTGATTGGCTGTATTGCTAGAAAAAAAAATCCAATTACATCACTGCTTTCACTGCCACAAAGGTGGCTATTGCAGTCAAGGCAATTTGACTTTTGTAATAAGTTCGTAATAACGTGACATTGTGAAGATGCAATGCAAAACACAAGCAATCCATTTTATTCAGAGGAAGTTCGAGTTCAATAAACAAACATGGGGACTGGCTTGTTGACTTTTTACTCACCTGATAACAAGAATGCCCTGCTTGATTTTTTTAGCTCGGTCACGTAACGGATGCTGACCCACATGTTTATTTACAGATCCCTTTGTTGGGTCCCAATCTGGTGGATAATATTTATTTACTGATTTTCTTTCAGCCTGAAATATTAAGAATGTTTATAAAAGTTTAATGTGATATCATTTAATTTACACCCTGAAACACAAGAGGTTGCATAAATGTATACGACCACAATACAGACGTAACATTATCAATAAGACATAAAAGAAGATCAGTGCAAGAAAGAAATAAAAAGTGAATTTTTAGTTTAAAGTAGATCTACCGTGAATGCAAGTTTCTCACATTTCTCGTACTAGGCCTAATGAAGACAAGTTACATATTATTAGACTTACAGGTCTAGTCCCCTATTAAAATGGTTACCTGTCGATCCTAGATTAAGGACAGTTTGAAATCTATAATAGGTATGCCACTGTCCTCGCAAAAGTTTCCTAAATGGAAACTGCATGGCTTTTACAAAAAAGGTGCAGAGTAGGCTACTATTTAAAACTCTAGTTCAATTCATTTTACACAAAAATTGCACACCTCTATCTAATTTCTTGGACATCGGACTGGTCCCGTTCCGTGAACACCAAAAAATTCCACAATCGGTCTGTCCAAAATGTAATCAACAGTATATTGTTTATCTTAGGATTAATCATCATGACATACCATTGTTTCTGTTAATCTGTGATATCTCCGTTACTTCAACTTCTTATTGATGTGGAAAAATCAAAATCTTAAAAAATAATACTCAAACGTTTATCTATCGAACGAGTTTTTGTCTTCGAATGGCGAAATAACTCTACTACGAACGACTACGATCTTGAAATCTAAAATTTCATTGGTCGAACGAGTTTTAATTTAGCCATTTGATTGGATGATATACAAGGAAAATGTTTCTATCCGGTGTATATACGGAAATATACAAGTTCTAAAAAGATACGAATGAATGCGGCCTTGAACTTTGATTCCAAACGACCTTCATATTTTCATTTGACAGCCCTGCAGATGTCTTGGGCGAAGTCGAAAGGAAGGTGTTGTACCAAGAACAAGGACTAAAAGGCACTCTTTGCAGACATTGGTACAGGTATTTGGATATTTAACAATAGTTTCATTTAGAGTAGTTTGCAGGGGATGTCAAATTAAACATTGGCTTCGCTCAGGAAAGGTTATACTGATCAGACAGAGAATGGGTGATTCTTGATGGTGGTGGAGGTGTGCAAGTCAAGTGATGCACAGGGCCACCAGCCTTATGAGCAAAACACTGGAAAGCTGGACAAGCGTGGGTAGCTTGCCTACTAGGCTACTGGATAGGTCATTCTGTCTACCATGCTCCATAGTCTATTAAAAACAGATGGAACTCTAGTTCACTTAATTGGAATTCTATTAGGAAAGGAAAATCTAACACTTTTTTTCCAGGGCAAATCCCACTGATGGTTCATCCGTTGCATAGTACTTCATTAGCCAAAGTAAGTGCAGAAAAGAAGGATGTAAAAGTCCATTGTAATTCACTTCATTTCCAGGGTAGAGCCTACTGTCTCTAGGTTTGTAGAGCTTAAAAACTCAATTAGACTAATATCGTACGGTACAATTTAAATTTGACTGTATAGTTTTCTTTTAGATATTTTCTTCAAAATGTCAAAGATAAATCAAGTGCGAGTTCTGACTTTAAATGCTGATGAAAATACTGAATCCACTCTATATCGTCTCGAGAAAGGTAGGCACATTCGTTGATATTATTGCCAATAGTGGCTCCTTAGCATCGACCTATTGCTCTTAAAGATAGCAGACTGATCTCAAAGCCGTAAACTCTTTTTTTGAATCTTAATTGAAAAGATTTTACATTCTTACATTTGATGTGAAGTGTATGTAAAGAAAAATCAACAACTTTAAAATCACTTGATCAATAATCAAAGACTAAGTTTGCTTATTTTTCTAAATTTTCAGGATGGACTTTAAGATTTGTATTGGGAGCATCGCTACATGCTAAAACTGTACGTTTATTCTGTAACCATACCCACGATAAGTCTGTGGTGTATGAAAGATTAGAATTCTACGAGCTAGCATGGAGAAATCCAAGTGGTATGAAGAATGATAAAATTGATGTGTTTGCTGAAGTACATATCATATCAGCTGGATCATTTAATTACTTCTTCACAATAGATGGAAGGTATGTGGAGAATATTCTTCAGTCATTTCTGCTTTTGTTGTACAATGAGCTTGTGTTCTCTACCAGGTCTTTCCTACTACTTTTCAAATAAAGATTACTTTTTATTAAATGTATAGTGGTAAACACATGCCATTTCCATTATATTATTGTTTTGCTATTATATAACAGTTTTTCAAGGTCATGTATGTGTTATTCATTTAACTGACTGTAAAACAAGTTCTATGAATAGATTTATTCTATTACCATCATACTGATTTAAAATTCTGATGTCTGTGATCCAATTCCAGGAAAAATTTATCTGATTATGATAACATACAAAAAAACAACAAGATTTTTCATTGATTAAATAGTGCTCAATGCAGGCATGTGAACATCAGTTGACCTAGAATTAGTTGTCTTTCCTCATGATTCCAGTCGACCCATCTGTAAATGGGTAAGGATAACCCAAAAAAAGATCCATACCAAGAGGTCTTGAAATGGACACCTGGCTGGTGGACAGGATCTTTCAGAGCCTAATTGGTTATCCTTGTAAACAATGTTCTTTTTTCTATCTTTTCTATCAATTCTTCTAATTGTTTCTTTCAGTCAAAATCCTAAAAGTGCCAATGGTCAAGGTTATTTTTTGGTGGATCCAACCTTGTCTTTTGGTGATGATAAGGAAGACATCACTTTAGATTGTATTCAGAGCCAAACAGTTATTACCAAATTATTAGGCCCTATAAATGAATGGAAAGACAGATTACTAGTAGCTAAAGAGAGTGGCTATAATCTTATTCATTTTACACCAATACAAGAACTGGGGATTTCAAACTCAGCTTACTCCATACGAAACCAACTACGACTGAATCCACTGTACTATGAGAAAAATAAAGAAAATACTTTTCAAGATGTAGAAGATATAGTTAAAATGATGAAAAAAGATTGGCAAGTGTTATCTCTTACTGATTTAGTCTATAATCATACAGCCAAAGATAGTGCATGGATTCAGAAACATCCAGACAGTGTATATAATCTAGATAACTCTCCTCATCTCATACCAGCTTATCTTGTAGACAGAATATTTCATCATTTCTCACTACAAGTTGCTGAAGGAAAATGGAAAGATCAGGGCATACCTTCTGTTGTTGACAGTGAAGGCCAACTTCAGGTATAGATTATTTTTTAATTCATGAAACAAACTGTGATACATCAGTGATGCAATTATTGAAAAAGGATTTTACATTCCAATAAAAATATATTTTGGGTCTATTGTTTGATTTGAAACAATCAGATCTCAATTTTGACTTTCATAATAAAGTTTCAGAAGTAGATTTGTTGCAATTTGATAGAATGTTACCAGGGCTATTCTCTTTCATTCAGATATTTAAATGATATTTTTGATATCATGACTAAGCAATGAACATTACAGTCAAATGTCACTGGCAACAATGTACAGATAACAAGTCCAATGAAATGAAATATATCCTGTTGATGAAAAGGTTTCGCCCACTTTCTAGTGATTCTGTATTCAGTTATTATTATTTTGTAGATAATGAAAGAAGTATTATTATCTGAAGTTTTTCCTCATTTCAAATTACATGAATTTTATACAGTGAGTGAAGAAAATATTTTGAAATCTTTTCGCAGTAAAATTGAAGGTGAGTTTATTTGAACAAAAAAGAGTAGGCTAATGTTGCTGCTCTCGTTAAAATTCTCTAACTGCCTTCTGTAGAGTCAGTTTGGAGATTTCTTAATATTTACCAAATGATAAAGCTAAATTTTGCAATCCTGAGCACTCTCTAATGAATTTTTAACGGAAGGCTGAAATTGATCCATATTTATGATAAAGCAATAGTGTATTGATAATATATGTTGTAGAAAATGTAAATGTAACTACAAATGATACAGAAGTTAATATCAAACAAGATAAGTTATATAGAAGATTAGGTAGTACTGTTGATATGAATACAGTTTTATATTTCTATAATACAGACAGGTAAAATACATTTAGTCTTCTTTCTCTTTTTTGACATCAACCTTATTCACTGTCTTTATTTTTTGTCCATGGATGAAATTTGAATAAAAATTAATTTGTTAGAAATTGCTATTTGTGATGCAGAAGATCACTGCTTATATGCTACAGACTGTGCATATATATATTATTTACATGAGTTGAAAATGAAAGATAAGAAGCAAATTGTAAGGATAGTTTTTAAATAATTCCCTCATTGTACACTGTATGTATTTCCAATATATTTTGTATGTTTTGTAGACCTGGAGTAGCAAATGGTACTGATAGAATCAATCAGTGTTGTATTACATTACGAGAGAAAATACAACAGTTGAATCAAAATAAAATCAACGAAGTAAATGAGCATATACGAGTTGCTGTAGATAACTTCCTAGCCAATGTTAGATGGAGATTTCTAGCTGGAGATGGTCCTAAAGTTGGTCAAGTCACAGAGGAAGAACCTTTAATGTGGGGGTAGGTAATTTTTCTATGTACACTAATATACTTAAAGTCCTATATTGAATAGTTCATCCCATTTACCAGAGAAGCTGTCCAAATTCCTTTGTGGAACAACTATGATAGGAAACCATACTTAGACAACTTAGATGTGTTAATGAATTTTATATAGAGAAAAAATTATTCGTAGCTGTTCTGTGTTTTTTCTTAGATAAATAATATTTCCTATATGTCTAAAGTAGTATGTTCATCTCACTAACCAAACTAGCTTTCTAGATGAAAATTTTGTATCTGTAGCAATGTGTCTACAGCATGAGATGAGCTCTTGGCAATTACTTCACATAGATTAACATAGTTGCATATAAATCCAGATCTTTGGTAATCAATGATTTCTGTGGTTATTTTCTGGTAATTTTCTGTAGATATTTTGTGATACCTGAGTCACATGAAGGATCAGTAACTAAAGAAGAGAGTATGATAGAAGGAGAGGGGAAGAAATATATATTTGCTGTTAATGGTTGGGTGATGAACGATAATCCCTTACGGAACTTTGCTGAAGAAGGTAACTCGAATTATAGCTTACAGAAGGTGCGCTTTTGCGCTCTGGTTGAAATGAGGAGCTTTGATAATGTGACAAAAATACAAGGAATATAGCATGATAGACATGTGACATCATCAGATGAAAATGTGCCCTAAAGTGAGTGTATCTCGAAGTGGTTGTCTGTCTTTTTAAATGGCAATTACAAAGTCAATGATGTATTATTTTAGGTTCATTAATATATTTAAGAAGAGAATTAGTAGCATGGGGTGACAGTGTTAAATTACGCTATGGTCAGTGTCCAGAAGACAGTCCGTATCTATGGAAACATATGAGACGATACACGGAAGAAACTGTTCAAATATTCCATGGTGTTAGGTTAGACAACTGTCACAGTACACCAATACACGTTGCTGAGGTATATAGCTTTTAAGATAATAGGATATTATTATTAGTAGCTGTACAAAATATCTCATCTTCATAAGCCTGTAGATAATGTTGTTTTTATACAGTTTAGTTCAACCAAGAATCTTATTCCAAAGACAAAGCTTTACAAAACACTGCAATTTGAATAGAAAATGCAATTTATTGATTTATCAGAGAAGGCTTAAATCAACCTAAGTAAAGTGATTCTAAAATCAAAATGCAGATCTGGTTATCCTAATTTTTTTAGATGTATGCTAGATTTGACCTGATCTCTAAGTTAGTATATTGTTTATTACAGTATATGTGAGATGATGCTAGAAAGATTCAACCTGATCTCTATGTTATTAAGTTGTTTATTACAGTATATGTTACATGCTGCCAGAAAGATTCGACCTGATCTCTATGTTATTATGTTGTTTATTACAGTATATGTGAGATGATGCTAGAAAGATTCAACCTGATCTCTATGTTATTAAGTTGTTTATTACAGTATATGTTATTAAGTTGTTTATTACAGTATATGTTACATGCTGCCAGAAAGATTCGACCTGATCTCTATGTTATTGTGTTGTTTATTACAGTATATGTGAGATGATGCTAGAAAGATTCAACCTGATCTCTATGTTATTAAGTTGTTTATTACAGTATATGTTAGATGTTGCCAGAAAGATTCGACCTGATCTCTATGTTATTATGTTGTTTATTACAGTATATGTTAGATGCTGCTAGAAAGATTCGTCCTGATCTCTATGTTATTATGTTGTTTATTACAGTATATGTTAGATGTTGCCAGAAAGATTCAACCTGATCTCTATGTTATTAAGTTGTTTATTACAGTATATGTTACATGCTGCCAGAAAGATTCGACCTGATCTCTATGTTATTATGTTGTTTATTACAATATATGTTAGATGTTGCCAGAAAGATTCGACCTGATCTCTATGTTATTATGTTGTTTATTACAGTATATGTTGGAAACTGCTAGAAAGATTCGTCCTGATCTCTATGTTATTATGTTGTTTATTACAGTATATGTTAGATGCTGCTAGAAAGATTCGACCTGATCTCTATGTTATTGTGTTGTTTATTACAGTATATGTTGGATACTGCCAGAAAGATTCAACCTGATCTCTATGTTATTATGTTGTTTATTACAGTATATGTTAGATGCTGCTAGAAAGATTCGACCTGATCTCTATGTTATTGTGTTGTTTATTACAGTATATGTTGGATACTGCCAGAAAGATTCAACCTGATCTCTATGTTATTATGTTGTTTATTACAGTATATGTTAGATGCTGCTAGAAAGATTCGACCTGATCTCTATGTTATCATGTTGTTTATTACAGTATATGTTAGATGTTGCCAGAAAGATTCAACCTGATCTCTATGTTATTATGTTGTTTATTACAGTATATGTTAGATGCTGCTAGAAAGATTCGACCTGACCTATATGTTATCATGTTGTTTATTACAGTATATGTTAGATGTTGCCAGAAAG